TGGGCGACAGAGTGAGACTACAACTCAAAAAAAAAAAAAATCCTCCAGTAACTTATTCCTATTGCAACCAGAACAAACCTGACTACTGACCTTGATCTTCAAGTCCCTCTCCAATCCAACCTCATCTCCTACTCTCTCCCCTTATTCTCTGGGCTACATTTACTCTTCCTGGCACAGGGAAAGTTCTTCCCCTAGTCTGTCACACATCTGCTTCCTCTGTATCCTCCCAGCCTCCACTTATCACTTGCCTTCTGAGAGACCTTCCCTGACCATCCTTCCCCCAGAACTGTCACATCACCTTGTCTTATCTCCTTCTTGGCCACTCTTACCAGAACATGAGTTCCATGAGGCCTGGGGTCCCATGTCTTGTTTACCCCATGACCCCAGCACCTAGCAGTTTCTGAATGAATTAGTGAAAAGGAACAAGCATCCCCATGCACTCAGCTCAGGCTACCAATTAGGGCACAGTGACAACTATCATTTGTGACTAGGACAGGGCATCATAGGAGGGGAAAGAAAAGATTGCACATCTGACAGCCCCTTTTCGGCTCCCTGAAAGTTCCACCTGGGGTGACTTGTGATCTGCCAGACACACTGAAACCTCCCCTCAGAGAACAAAGCCAGGTGGCAGGTGTGGTTCCTCCTTGGTTGTTTTGGTTTGTGGGAGGAAGCTGGGGGACATCGAGACCCCGTGTTTTATGGAGTCTGCTACTCCCAAGACACTGCTCCTTAGGGTATTGCTGGCTTAAGCCTTAATCCTATGAGGTAAGCCCCACTGTTATCCCGATCCCATTGTACAAATGAGGAAACTGAGGTCCTAAGGATAAGTAACTTGTCTGGATTCCTACCGAGGCAGTTGGATAACAGGATCTGTGCCCATAACCACCTAGACCCTCCAGGGTGGCTCTTGACAAGCCAGGTTAGTTGAGACTCTCAGGACACATACCCATTTGACTGATACATACCCAACTCTTAGCACAGGGGTTGCCCTTGGAGAACAGAATCAGGGCATAGGAAGAGATGGAAGGTCAGTTGTGTTTTACTTTATTTCATGATGTCTGAATTGTTCAAGAATACTTATTTTCCTTCTATGATTAACAGCTTTTTTAGCATGTACCAGTTAGCAGCATGGGCTTTGGAAACAGGCAGAACTGGGTATAAATCCTGTGACTTCTCCTCCCAGAGCCTCACCTTAGTCCTGTGAGAAACAGGAATGAGGATGCCTGTGTCCCAGGGTGGCTTAGAGATCACCCGGGATGATGATGTGTTTAGAATGGGCTGCTCAGGGCTGGACACACAGTTGGTGCCCATACTTTGCACAAGTGATCTCCTCCCTTTGAAAGAGGGAACCACAAAAGCTAGAGTCATAGGGCTGGGCTCTAGTCCAGCCTCTTTCACCTTGAGCAAGCCCCACTGTCTCCCCTAGCCTCACTCAGTCTCCTCATCTACAACATGGGTCAGACCTGGTAATCCCTCATCACCAAGGCAGTTTGGAGTAAGTCAAGGGCTTGGGTAAGTGCTCTGAGCAAGGTGGTAACTATGCTTTGTTTGCAAAGTCTAGGGCCCGGAGCCAAGTCCAGGGTTCCTGCCACAGCAAGATGCAGTCTCCCTCTGACATTTCTGGGGACCCATGGCCAATATCACCCTCTGTCGGATTTGTCTGGCCTGGACAGTGCTTTTAGAAATACATTTTGAAAATATGGTCCATATTGTAAAATAGTTATCTAGCCTGAGAACTCTTGAATTAATGGCTTCTGTTGAAAACATCAGCACATCTGGCCACCCAGGACTAGCTTCCCATAAGGCAGGATGGGGCAATAATGAAGAAAGGTTGCCCCAAATTTATTATTTCTGCCAGGCCCCAGGAGGTGTAAGATTGCAAACTTAGCACCAGCTATCCCAAAATTCCTCCCAGTAGCGTGTACAGGTTCCACCAAAACACCATGGAATGAAAACCCTGACAGCTAACACCTGGAAGTAAATGTATCAGGCATGGTATTAAACACTTCAGTCACTGAACAAACATTGACACAGCACTTCCTACCCTTGCCGAGACTGTGCTTTACAAATATCAACTCCTCACCAGACAGGGACTGATTATCTCCATTTTAAAGATGAGGAAACTGAGGCACAGAGAGAAGTCTGGGACTTGCTCAAAGTCCCACAGCTGCTAAGTGATAGCTCTGATTCTTGTTTAACCACCAAGCAATGCTGCAAAGTTTCAGTAAATCCTCAGAGTGACCTGTTCACAACTTTGCAAATGGATAAACTGAGGCACAGGAAAGTCAAGTCTATTATTGTGCTAATAGAAAGCAGCAAATCTGGAATTCAAATCCAAGCAGTCTGGCTCCCGTCTGGCCCCTGTTCCTAATTTCTGAGCTATTCAGTCTGGTTCTTACTAGGCTGGTTACTTTGGACAAGTCCATTAGACTCCCTAAGCCTCAGTTTCTGATCTGTAAAGTAATAAGTTAATGTACATGAAATGCTTAGAGCAGCATCTGGTTCATAGTGAGTGCTACTGCTGTTGTGTTAATATCATCTGACCCCTGAGCCTGTGCACTGACCTTCAGTGTCCCAAAATAAGGCAATCTGAGCGCACCCTGCAGAAGGAAGCCCTTGACAGGATCCGCTGTCATAGCCACTCTGTCACAACCATACGCCCATCAAAGGAGTCCCACCAAGGGGCCTACCTCCAGAGGGGTGAAGTCATGGTTGACCAGGAAAGCCAGGATGGCTGTGGGAATGACGAGGAACTCCACCCTGAATGTGTCGTGGTTCCCATCATAGGTGGCTTTAAACTTACTGTAAATCATCCAGACCGTGGTGAAGGAGCAGGCTATGTAGACCACCTGAGGAGGGGGTGGTGAGAGGGCACCTCAGCTCACAGGTCAAGGCCTGTGCCCCCAATAGACTCAGACCCAGGAGTCCAGGCTCCAGTCCCTCCTCCCTCAGACCCAGGAGTCCTGGTCCCCAGTCCTTTCCTCCCTCAGACCTAAGAATCCAGGCCCTCAGCCTCTCCTCCCTCAGACCTAGGAGTCCAGGACCCAGTCCCCACTTCCTCAGACCCAGGAATCCAGGCCAGGTCCCCAGACCCACCTGCCTCAGACTCAGGAGTCCAGGTTCCAGCCCCTCCTCCCTCAGACCCAGGAGTCCAGGCTCCAGCCCCTCCTCCCTCAGACCCAGGAGTCCAGGCCCCAGCACTCCTCCCTAGGACTCAAGAGTTCAGAACCCAGCCCCTCCTCCCTCAAACCCAAGAATCCAGAACTCAGAACCCCCCCTCAGACCCAGGGGTCCAGGCCAGGCCCCCAGCCCCTCTTCCCTCAGACATAGGTGTGTAGACCCTACACTTGGCTCCCCTGTCTCAGGGGGGGCCCAGAGAGGCGGCAGGAGCCTTTACCTTCATGCACGTGTTGTAGAGTGAGATGTAGTTGGTGAAGAGGTCCAGGTATCGGGCAGTGAACACCACAGCGAACAGTACCTGGCTCTTCCCTGAAATCCCTGTGGTTCAGAGAGTGGGGGGAGGAGGCTGGGGGTGGGCTGCATGGGCCGTAGCTAAGACACTGCGTCTGGGACCAGCCTGGAGGCAGCTCTGGAGTGCAGTTGTCCCCAGAGGCCTCCCAGCCCAACCCGCCTCAGCAGGGCCCTTTCCCACGGCCCACAGCCAGGGGGCAGCCCAGGCACCCGAAGCTACTCCAGCCCGAGGCTCCGTCCCAGGCTAGGCCTCAGGGCCACCCCTGTGCCCCGCGGGGTGCTCTACCCGCTGGAGCCAAGGTGGGGCCCAGGGAGGACCCCGTCTGACCTCCGCCCCCCGGATGCGGTCACCTCCCTCCCGCTCCCTTCCTGGCCGCCACGGTCCACGTCACCAACTCCCAGTCACCACCCCGCCTGCCATGGCTCCCGGTTCCCATTCCTTGAACCCTCGAGCTGCCCAGATTGGGGCTCGGGAAGGCTGAGTCGGGCTCCTGGAGCCACCCCCACCAAACTGTATGCACCCCCCGAGTCTGGGAAGCGGAGCTGACCCCCTGGTGACCCAGGACCTGGAAGAGAGATCCCCAGCGACCAGTGGGGGAGGGACCCGTCCCCCTGGTGCTCCCAAACCTGTCCAGAGTCCCGGGACGCACCCCCGGCAATCTCTCCCCTTCTCCCGCCCCGGTGGGCCTCTCACCGGCACACGAGCGGGACTTCCAGATTTTGAGCAGTAGCAAGATGATGGCTAGGAGGTGGGAGAGGTCTCCCAGGAATCGGAAGAGATTCATGGCTGGGGGGCCCTGGCAGGGCTGAGCGCCAGAGAGACAGGCTGGCGGGGGACTGCCCCCCGAGGCTGCAGTTCTGGCCGGGTGGCTGGCCTGGGGGAGCGGGAGAGGGACCCTCGGGTGGGCTCCGCTCCAGGGAGGGGGATCTGGGAGGGGGAGCCGAGGCCGGAGCTGGTGGCCGAGCTAGAGCCGGGAAGAGGGAGGCGGGCGGGAGGGGGAGGAGTCAGGCTAGAAGGCTCCGCCCCCGAGGGCGGGTCCCTGCGCCCCCTATCGCAGTGGCGGCGCCAATGCACGCCCAGGGCTGCCTCTAGAACTTAAGGGGTCTCTGGGTTCTGAAAGTCCCAAGTCTGGCACCGGTTCTTCCAGGCAGTCTGTGTCTCTATAAGGGACGCAGTCCAGCCGCCCAGCCTCTGCCCTTGACAGGAATTCGGGAGGCTGGCCTCTGAGCTTTAAAGATCCTAGACAGGCCGGCTTCTGCCCCTCTCGGGGGCCTCTCCAGCTCCAATCCACCCAAAAGACAAGCAAGCAGCCCCCAGCCCCATCTTCCTCAGCCCACTCTTCCCCTACACCCCGGAGTCCAGGTCTTAACCCCTTCCTCAGACCCAGAATTCCAAGTCCCAGACCTCCCCATTTCTTACACACCAGAAGTCCCAGCTCCCAACCCCTCCTCCCCTCCCTCAGACCCAGGAGTCCGGACCTCAAACCCTCTCCCCTCAGACCCAGAAGTTCAGGTTCCCAGTCCCTCCTCCCTCAGACCCAGTGGTGCAGACCCTCAGCCCCTCCTCTCTCAGACTCAGGAGACCTGTCCTCAAACCTAGGAGTCCAGACCCCCAGCCCCTCCTCCCTCAGACCCAGGACCTCCTTCTCCTTTACCCAGGAGTCCTGACCTCTGTCTCTTCCTCCCTCATACCCAGGAGTTCAGACCTCCAATCCCTCCTTCCTCAGACCCGAGTCCAGACTCCCAGCCCCTCTTCCCTCAGACCTGGGAGTCCAGGTCCCCAGCCCCTCCTCCCTCATACCCAGGAATCCAGGCCCCAGCCTTCTCCCCCTCCTGGTATCCCCTTCCTTGGAACTTGGGGTCCCCTCAACCATCGTATGGCTCAAGCATCCTAACATCAGAAATGTAGATCTACAATCCCTTTCTCCCTTTAAGACCCACAAATTTAGGCCCCAGTTTCCTTTGTGTGCCTTCATCCCTGCCCTCCCAGACCTTGGGCATGGAGGAAACAGAAGTCCTACCTAGCAGGCCAAAACTCTGACCCAAACTGCCTCAGGAGCCGTGACCCTGGCTTCAGGCTCTGCTCCAGAATTTCCCCCTACACACACACACACACACACACACACACACACACACTTGTGCACACACATGCGCATACACACACACTCTTCCGGCCTCCACCCTCCAGGGCCCAGGGGTCTTGCACCACACTGTACCCCAGAGCTGCATGGGTGGCTTTGCAGAATGCTGGGCCTTGTCTCTATAGCAGGGGGGCAGCTGGTCTCATGGAACTCTCATGGGGACAGGCTACGGTCTGGACTGCTGTGTCTATGAGGGGACAGAGGCTGCTTTCCTTCTGGATGTTGGTACCCAAAGGTGAGGGAGGCCATGGTCCCTCAATAACAGAGGTATTGACTTCTTCAATGGGTTGGGTGGACTGGGTGCCCAAGGGTGACATCCATGTAACTTGGATGTCAGGAGCTAGGGTGGTTTGTGCTGCCTGAGTCCCCTTTAGGTTTGGAGAAGGGGTCCCCAGATATCTGGGTCCCAGTGGAGAAGGGATTCCTGGACTCAGGGGTCTGAGGGAGGAGGCTGGGGGCCTGGGCTCCTGGGTCTGAGGGAGGGGGCTGGGGGCCTGGGCTTCTGGGTTGATAGTGGAGATCTAATTTGCAGGCCTGGCCTTCTGGGCAACAGAAGCCAAACGACGGGTCTTAGCATGGCGGACTCTGAAGTCAGGGAGAGGCCTCCTGCTTCCCAAGCCTCAACGTGAGGAGGGGCAGGAGGGCAGCCACCCCCAGCCCTGGAGTCCATGTCCAAGGCTGATGTCCCCATACAGGGTTCTGAGTGCCTGTCTGCCACCCTCCAGCCCCCACTTCTTTCTCCCTTTTTATTTTCAGACCCTCATTCCCTTGTCCCAGGAGGAAGGCAAAGGATGGGAGCTGGGGGCGGGGGGCGACCCCCTCCCTCAGCCCTGGCAGGAGGAGGGGTCCCCAGGGAGGCCAGGAGGAGGGGCTGTGGGTCTCTCGGCAGTGGCGGACGGGGACTGAATGTTAATCGCATCCCGAGTGAGTGTGTGTGTGCGAGAACAGAGCGAGTGTGCGAGTCCCTCCCGCTCCGGCTCCTCCAAGCCGCGGCCGCCGCCGCCACCCTCGCCCGCAGCCTCCTGCAGCCACCAGTGCCCAGCCAGGGGGTGTCGGCCTGGGTGGGTCCGCCCGGCCCCCAGGGGTCTCTCGTGCATCCGCAATCTGCCTGGTGAGGATCTGTGTGTCCGGGTGTCGGGCTGGCTGGTGGAGGGGGGGTGTGTCTGTCAGGGCTGCGGCGGTGGCGAGGGAGGGAGGGGTCTGTCTGTCTGTTCCGACCCTGAGCCGCCTGCCTGGGTGTCGTGGGCCCCCGATCCTCCCCCGCCAGCCCCCCAAATCCAGATGGATGATGTGTACCTGGGTTCTGTGCCTCCTGCCTGCGTCCAGCCGGGCGTCTGGGCGTCCCCAGCTGCTTGTGTCCTCCTGTCTGTCCGAACAGCCCCAGCCGGCAGTGGCAGCCAGTCCCCCATTGGACCCCCTGTGTGTGTGCGTGCGCATGTGTGTGTCTCCCTCCTCAAGCTCCGGGGGTGTTGAGGGGAAATCCCAGGGAAGTGAGGTTGTGCGTGTGTGTGCGTGTGTGTATGAGTGTGTTTCTGCCTGTGTTTGAGAGTGGGGGCGTCGAGGGGGGGTCTGGAGGTGGCCAAGCGAGAAAGGGGCAAGCAGGTCCCCAGACAGGCAACCTCCCGCTCCTCACGCAAACACACACACCAGCCACCGGCTTCAGAGGTGACCCAGACAGACAGACAGACACA